TATAGAGAATACAGGAAAGCGAGTAGAAAGACCAAAAGAATCATCAAGACTGCTAAAGAACATGCATGGAAATTATACGGCGAGAAACGGACCAAAATCTGCAAGAAAACCCCTAGAAAGTTTTATAAAAGTGTGAACAGTATGCGGGAAAGGAAAGACCCATACAACCCGACATGCATTATAAACGATAAAGAGGGAAATGCCATTCTCGGCAAACATGCCATTAAGAAAAGAAGGGAAAATTACTTCCAAGAACTTCTCAACCCAGACGATTGCCACGGACAACAAGAAGACTTCCAACCATCATATGGAGACATACAGAACCACGCATACTTCTCAGTGAAATCGAAAAGGCACTCAAAACCATCCCGCAGAACAAGGCCCCAGGACCAGATGACATCACAGTGGAAGCCATAAGAGCTTGAGAAAACACCGGTGTACTGTGGCTGAGGTGAATTTTCAGTAGAGCCTGGGATCGAAGGAAATGCCCAGAAGACTGGCAGAAATCCATAGTGGTCCCGTTATGGAAAAAGAAAGACAGCAAACGGGCCTGCACAACGTACAGAGGAATCGCTTTGGTAAGTCACGCAGGAAAAATATACGGTAAGATACTAGACCAGCGGATAAGACTTATTGCTGAGGGAAATCTGAGCAAAGCTCAGTTTGGATTCTGAGAGGGAAGAGGATGCACGGATACAGTATTCGCATTAAGACAGATGCGAGAAAACAATCGAACACAACAAAGAATCCAACATCGTCTTTATAGACCAGGAGAAAGCTTTTGAAAGAGTAAACAATGCAAAACTCTGGAAGACACTCGAAAAGTATGGCGTCAGAGGACAAATGTTAGATGATGTCAGAGTTCTATCTCCCCTCCTGTTTATAATATATAGGGACACAATAACGCAAGACGCCAACCAAAGCCCAGAAAGCCTAATTGATCGTCTATTCGCAGACGACCAATGTCTTATTCATCCAAACCAACAAAGTCTGCAAAATCACACTACCGAACTGAGCCACAGCTCCGAGAAATTTAACATGAAAATATGCACATCAAAAACAGAAGTTATGATAGTGAGCCGAAACTGTAGTCCCCTGAATATCCATGTCAATAGTAAACAACTGAAATATGTGAAGGAGTTTAAATATCTCGGAGAGTACTTTTTTCTGAAAACGGATCCATAGTCAGAGAAATAGAAATGCGAACTCAAAAGCCAACGCTGTCACCTACCAGCTCGCACCCTTCCTATCCCATCCAAACATCTCCAGGGACCCAAAGAGATAGCTTATCACCCCAATATCCATACTAACAGTATGATACCAGAGCCAGACTTGGACATTGATTAAGTAAAACCCATGAAAAAAAAACCGCTGCAAGCGAAATGAAATGTCTCCGCTTAACATCACAAGATGAGACAGGCAGAGAAATGAAGAAGTAAGAGAAGGTATCGGCATTGAGTCCTGTCTGCATTACATAGAAAGACAGAGAATAAAATGGTTTGGCCCCCTGCTACGTATGTCACCTGGCCAGCCTACAACACCAAACATTGCCGGCCACGAAAAATGTGGATCGAGGGTGTCAAGGAAACCCTGAGAAAACATTAATATCACAACTGAAAGAGCTGTGGAGTTAGCCTACCATAGAAAACTGCACCTCCCCTCGACGCTTAATGGCAACAGAGGAAGAAAAAGTAAAAAGTTAAAGTAAAGTAAGTATTCTTACTGAAAGTAGATTTAATTTTAAGAATAGACGAGATTTACAGGAACACTGAAGACATATGAAATCAAATGAAAAATCTATGACCCAAGAAATGCGATGAGGCAGACTGTGCAGTCACATTTGGTAGGTTGTTTTCGGTCCGATCTAATTAAATTTATAAATAACTAATATTAACATTTAATTTAAAAGGCTCGATGAGAGGCTCTTGGAGTAGGAAGCTGAGATTAATATCCATTACATACTCCTTTCTTTTACAGCTTTGGGGCGAAGAATGAGTCACGATATCTTTCTCGATATTATTATTCTTAAATCCAGGCAGTTTAATTTCCTTTTTCCAGTAACTAAAATCAACAGGTCAGCGTGGTCTATTCTTGCTTTGAGCCATTGTGTGGCCAATGCTTTTACTAAACAGATTTAGTTTCCCAAACTGTTTACTCGGTTTCAGCGCTAACGAGTTCTGCTAAAACCTATGCTATTACACAGGGAAGAGATCAAAGGAGGAAGAGACACACAAAAAAATAATAATGTTGAGGTTGGTGTTATAGCCATACTCCACAAAACGGGAACATAGCTCTGAACACCTATGCAAAATCAATTCAGATGATGGAAAGATGATACCAGAGGTCTCTGATGATACCCTTCAAAACAGCAGACATCTCGAGTCACACGGTTAGTCTTTCTAGTGCTAGCTGTACCAACGCAGCATGCGGAACAAACAAGTCGATGTTTGATTGGCCTGAAAGCTACACTACTGGGGAGCTTTCATAGAATCAAAGTCATTATATCTCAGCGGTAACCTGAGCAATGCACGTCATCGAAAGCAGTCATGAAAACGGTCACACATGAAATGACGGATGGCCGAGAATAAAAGCAGGCAGTTTCAGGGTTTTCTTGCAGGACTCCAACTCTCGACATAGTTTTTTTTTAAATCTCACGTAACGACCAGATATACACGGATTAGCGGATGGGGGGGGCGGATTAATTATTTTTCTTTGAGATTTTAGGCATAGTTCTGTATGACCGGATACGAGGATTTTTAGCATCAGTTCCCTGGGTAATGTGCAATCTGTTTTAAAACTATATCTAAAGTTTACTACAAATTTGGAGAGATTTTTACAAAGAAGAAACATTACCGAGAATAAAAAATAGACGAACCCTATGTTTTAGAAAATTCTAACAATCAATATGCCCTCCGGAACATAATTATAGGATTTTTTAGTTCACTAAAGTATTACAACAAAAAGCCCAGCCAAGAATATCTGGTTCACAGACCAAAACTAGTTTGTTCACTCTGTCGAATTAAAATGATCTCTTTTCGGAGACACTCAATCTATCTCAATATAGCTAATTTCAAATACTTCATTAATTTCCTTGCTTCTGCCCAAAATAACTGCTAATTGACCTTTTATGTAGCTAAAAGCTTTATTTTTAAGTTTCAAAATAAGGGAAGACTATTGCAGCTGCAGGGTTGATAAAATGATCTTATTGTGTTTTTACTATACATTACGCACACACACACACACACACACACACACACACACACAAC